GGCTGGCATGTGGTGCTGGGGATCGAACCGCGGTCCCTGTGCTTTGCCAAGCTTGTTTCAAGTAGGTGCTTTAGACCACTGAGCCATCTCTCCAGCCCCCCCACTAAGGAGTTTAGTAAGGCCCTGTATCAGATAAATTTTAAGAAGAAAAATATAAAAAGAGAAAGGCAATGTCCAGATTTTTTGTTTGTGGTTTTTTTTTTGTCTTTTTGGAGTTTTTTTTTTTTTTTTTTTTCAGAACCGGGAATTGAACTCAGGCCCTTGCACTTGCTAGGGAAGCCCTTATTCCACTGAGCCATCTCCCCGGCCTGTTTTTATCTTTTTGTGACAGAGTCTCACTCTGCAGTTAGCCCAGGCTGGTCTTGAACTCAAAACAAACCTCCTGTCTCAGCTGCCAGGTGCTGGGATTACAGGTGTGCACTATCATACCTGGCCAGATTGTTTTATTAGGGCTACGTATATGAAGTTTAAGTATCTCTTTATGGAGCACCTAGGAAAGCCAAACTTGCCCAGCCTGGTAACACACACCATAATCCTAGCACTCAGAGTTCAAGGACGTTTGGACTACTTAGTGAATTTAAGGCCAGCCTGAACTAAATAGACTTTATCTCAGAAAACATGGGCTGGGGAGATAGCTCAGCTGCATACCCCCACTGCCTGGAATCTCAAGGTCAGGAGTTTGATCCCTGGTACAAAAAAAGGAAAGAAAACAAACAGCTTTTATGTGCCAGGCACGGTGGCATATGCCTGTCATCCCAGCACTCTGCACATTGAGGAAGAAAGACTGCTGTGAGTTTTAGGGAGATTAGGCTACAGGGTGAGGCCCTGTCTCAAAAAAGAAAAAAAAAAGTTAAATAAAAACAGAAAAAGTACTAGACTCTATATTTGCATTCCCATTTTACACAGATGTGAGAACTAGGCAACGTCTTAAAGTCATGCAGCTTCTGAACAACTAACTGAAAGACAACGATATGCGATATAACAACCACTGTTAAATTCCTGTTGTTTTGTTTAGTGAAATTCTGTATTGTTTCTTATTTTATTTAATTTATTTATTTTGGCAGAACCGAGGATTGAACTCAGACCCTCACACTTGCTAGGGAAGCGCTTATTCCACTGAGCCATCTCCCCGGCCCCTATCCATTTATTCTTTTTTAAAAAAATATGGGGCCTGCCCATTAGCTCAGTTGTTTAAGTGACTGCTTAAACATAGCAATCAGGATGCTGTGGTTGAATCTCCAGATCCTCAAGCCTTACCAGACCTGCCCTGAAGGCATCCTGAGCCAGCAAAAAAACAAACAAAAAAAACACTTCTGAACTTTTGGGGCCAGGGATATGCTCAGTGGCATAAGCGCCTGCCTGGCAAGTGCAAGGTCTTGAGTTCAATCTCTGGTATCACATGAATAAATAAATAAATAAATAAAATAATAATAACAATAATAAAAATAAGCTAGGCATGGTGGCACATGCTTGTAATCCCAGCACTCAGAAGGCTGAGGCTGGAGGATTACTGTGAGTTTGAGAACAGCCTGAGCTACATAGATCAAAACCGACCTGAACTCTATAGTCAGACTGAGATAGGAAATTAGGGTATGCCAAAGCTGGCTAGGGAAGTAGGCATGACAAGATCCTGGAAAATATGTGCAGAACAGTTCCTGAAATGCTGCATGTGGACTTATGAGAACTCAAGCAGGTTTTTAGTAGGCTCTCCTAGATACGAGGTCAGCCTTTTTTTTTTTTTTTTTATGTATTTAGTACAGGGTCTACAGGGTTTCACTACACAGATTGGACTCATAGTGATCCTCCTGTTTTCAGCCTCCCAAGCACTGGCATTACAGGTGTGCGCCACCACGCCCAGTCTCAGTCACTGCCTCAGTGCGCCCAGCACACTAGGGGTAGAACCCAGTCCCTGTGTGTGCCTAAGCAAGAGGTGAGCCTTAGAGAGTGGGATAGCACCACTGTCTCTCAGGTCCCACACGTGCGTTCTCTTGGGTTTCTGCAAGATTTGCACAGTGTGAAAGGACACAGGCCAAAACTTGCCATGGGAGCTTTCTGCACAATAGTCTGTCCTTACTTTTACGTTTTTTCAGCACATGCTCACTCTGCAGAGCCATTTTCTTCTTCATTCTTCACTTTTTCTTTTTCTTTTTTAATTTTTATTTATTTGTGTGTGTGTGTGTGTGGCCAGCTCAGCCCACCAGGGGGTGGGGCTGGCTGGCATGTGGTGCTGGGGATTGAACCGCGGTCCCTGTGCTTTGCTAAGCTTGTTCTAAGTAGGTGCTTTAGACCACTGAGCCATCTCACCAGCCCCAACTTTTACTTTTTCAAGTAAACTTTGCCACTGCATTTTGTCAGGGGGGAGGGGGACCACGTCTCAGTATGGAATCTAGGCTGGCCTCGAACTCGAAGTGATTCTCTTGTCTCAGTTGAGTGCTGGGATTACAGGGGCATGCTACCATACCTGGTCCTCTATAAGGATTTATATAAGATACACAAATGAATCTGACACTGATGAAAAAAATGGAAGGGAAAAAAATTGAAATGTGTTTTGTATATGTACTGATTCCTCAAATAATTGAAATGTCTTTTGTATATGTACATTCCTTGAATCATTACGTACTACAAACATGAACTAAGAAAAATTGGGGGGAAATGGCGATACAGTTCTTGCCTGAGTTCAATTCCCAGTATCCTCTCAAAGAAAACCAAAAACAAAAGTGTTGAGAATGAGTTCAAGTGCTTATTAGCTACATAACCTCAGTTTTTATTAATTGTTACTATTTTATTTTTGAGATAGGATCTTGCTACTCAGTTCAGGCTGGTCTTGAGTTTACTTTGTAGCCCTAATGATCCTACCCCCTCAGCCTCCGAGTGCTGAGCTTACAGGCTTGCATCTTCACACCTGGCTGGAATTTGTATTTTTAATTTTGGGGGGGGGCCTGGTACTGGGAATAGAATACAAGACATCTTGCATTTGCCAGGCAGATACTGTGCCACTGAGCTATCTCGCTGGTCCTATTTTTAGTTTTTTTGAGGTAGGCTCCCAGGGCACCCCAGCATTTGTTATTGATATAATGATTGATATCTTTTTTTTTTTTTCTTTCTGAGACAGGGTCTCTCATTTTGTAGTGCAGGCTGGCATTAAACTCATGGCAGTACTCATGCCTCAGCCTCCTGTGTCCTGGGATCACAGGCCTTTGCCACACCTGGATTATTTTTTTTATTTTATTTTATTGAGAAGCAAATATGAATGAGACAGTTTCAAAACTGATTAATAGGACAGTTTCAATAATTAATACATTGTGCATTGCTATCTTCTTAGTGGTTATCCACAGTACAAGAAGCACACAGGATATGCTGTCCAAACACTATTAGTACACACCTTTCTTCTCATTGAATTAAGCGAAAGTAGTTGTATATCTATCTTATTTTGTATATATAAATACAAAATGATATTTCCTTTGTATCCCCCTTTTTTTGTTTAGTCCTGTCAGAGGTGGGTATTCTATAGGCATCTAAATACTATAGGGGCCAGGGAGATAGCTCAGTGGAATAAGTGCTTCCCTGGCAAGCACAAGGGCCTGAGTTCAACCCCTGGTCCCACAAAAAAAAAAAAAAAACTATAGGTGCTTGAATTCAGCAAAACAATCCAGCACTGTCCAACAATCTATAATAGTAGTGGGTTATCCTCAGAAGTTATTGACTTGAGCCTCTTACAGCTCATGATGTTAATATGGCTTTACTTTATATACCTCGTTTTTATACTTTTTTGCTGAATGATTAAGACCAAGAAAGCAAGACCTATATAACAAGAAATGTAACTTTTGTATCTGATAAGGTCAGTCAATTACCCTCAGGATTTATCCTGTAGCCTGGTACTGTACTATGTAGATCCTTTGTCAGTATCAGCCATGAGGATGAGTCACGACCATTGCTTGACCAATTTGCTCTGTGAAAGCCTGAGAGAATGTTTTCTCTCCATGTGACTCTCCCCAGGCACACTATACATCATCGATCACATTCCTCTGTGGCTCCATAATCTCCTTGATCAGAGAATTTTGAGCACAACTGAGTTACGTGATGTTACATTACAGGTTCTCCTATGTTCCGAGTCTTCACTGACCTTGAAAGGCTAGGGCCAAAACATTGGCTGACCTTGCAGCCCTTCTTTTTCTCCAATTTTTGATCTGCTAACTTAGGTTGTTAACCCTCCAGAAGAGAAGCTTATTATTAACCTGCAATGTATGCAGTTCAGTTTACTCTATCTGTCTAAATATCAAACATCTTTGACATATCATGGAACAGGTATTTTCCATCAAGTATTGATACACTTAACTTTAAGACCTTACAGAATATGAAGGAAAAATAATTTAAAAAAACTAGAAATAAGCATTTACATATGTTTACAAAGAACTTTAGAAATCTATCCATATACAGAATTGTAACAGGACAGACCTGTGACATTTTTTTTTCTTTTTCTTCTGTCTTTTTTAAATTTATTACCCTTTTTTAAAAGAAAAAATTAAAAAAATAAAAAACCCAAAACTTTTACTTAAGACACAGTATGGCAATAATTGGTATGTCATGACATATTTAGAAGACCAGGATGACAGGCACTCCAAGCATGACCCCCTATTACACATCGCCATCCTCAGTGCAGCCGCCTGGCTCACAGGCACCAGCACATACAGTAAGTCAGGGTGAGAATCCCACCAGCCAACTGCTAGTCTCAAAAACCTGCTGATGTCCCCCAGGATCACTGCCCCACACACCTGGATTATTGATAGAATTTGTTTTTTGTACCAGAAATTGAACTCAACCTCACACTTGCCAGGCATTCATTGTGCCCAACCTATATCCCCAGCCCTACTGGTTGATATCTTGATAATAGCCGTTCTTTCTGGAATGAGGTGGACTCTATATTAATTTGTATTTCTCCAACGGCCAGCATTGTTGCACATTGAAAAAATGTATTTATTGCATGTCTGTACTTCTGAAAAGTGTTTATGCATCTTAGATGTCCATGGTTTTCTGAGAAGTGTTTATACAATTCTGGTGTTCATAGGGGCCGGGGAGATGGCTCAATAGGATAAGCGCTTGACTGGCAAACGCAAGGATCTGAGTTCAATCTCCGGTTCCGCAAAAAACAAAAACAAACAAACAAAAAACAATTCTGGTGTTCATCAGTTTTATATTTTCTGGTATTCTCAGCCCTTCTGGGAACTCCACGTCTTCTTTCATTCCCATAGTGATTATCCCCTTTAGGAATAAGAGTTAAGAACAGCTGAAGACGTTATCTACAGGATTAGTTCTGCCAATCTGTCTAGCAATTAACAAGAGTTAGCGACACACAGTTCATCTGTGTAGGGCAGAGTGGGTGTACAGAGATAGGAGCAAGTTTCATGTTATCAAGGTGTCGGGGATATTCCCGCTTCTATGGGAAAGAGAAAATGCAGCTTCATCTCCATCCCCAGGCTATCAAGTAGGTCCTCTACTGGGCAGATGGTGCGGGGAGGGGAGGATGCAGGAGGTGCCAAGGCCCTAGATCTCAATGGTGAATTCTGAAGCTTTAACGGGGGCCCAAAGTCGTGGCAGGGCAACCTGCTGTTCCTTTTCTTCCGTTTTCCCACTCACCTACCCAAGAACCTACAAACAGCCGTCAGGCCTGGGAACAACAAGACGAGGCGCCACGCAAGTTCCAGCAAACACTACCAGACCCACAATGCCACAGGGCTCCGAGCCAATGGGCTTTCTCTTGCTGCGCAAGTGCAGTAGCCTCCAGTTCCACTGAGGAAGACTACAAGTCCCAGCGGGCCACGTCCCAGAATTCTCCGCGGGCAAGATGGCTGCGCGGAGTATGGCCGCTGAGGTGAGCTGGAGATAGGCCTGGGCTCCCGGGCCCGAGCGCCTCAAGACCCTCACCAACACATGCAGCTGAGCTCTGCTCGCTGTGGCCATGGGGTCGTCCTGATACAACCTGTGCCCCGATAGACAACCCCGGAATTTCGCCGCCCTGGGCTGGAACTTCCGGCAGGGCTGCAGAGTAAGCTCTACCCCAGCTGCTCGTGTGCTGACAGGTGCGACCCTGACCACTCCATGCCTGCGAGCACCGGGAGGCGGGGCCTCGCCCGGGGCCACCACCTTTGCTGGTTGCTGTGCGCTGTCACCTTCAGGCTCTGGTAAGGAGGGAAAAGAAGGGCAGGCGAGGACCGCCCCCGGCGTTGGGGGGACACCTTGTCCTCGGACGACGAAGGTGGGGGTGCCGCGTCTCCTGGATTCTAACTTTTACTCTCTCCCTGCTCCGCTGCAGCCAGGCAGAAGCTCCCGTTCGGGAAGAAAAACTGTCGGGTGAGTGATTTGCTAGGAATCCGAACCCCCGTAAGTTTTTGGGTTTAATCTCTTCCTCGTACACCGAGAGCACAAGTGAAAGAGGGCTGCGGCACAGGGGACTTGAGCGCCCGCTTTGCTGGGAAGTGGATGGGTAGTTTGGGAAGAAATGTTTCCTAATGGCCTGGAGGCGCAGGACTGGCGTTTTCCTCCCCTTTAGTGAGCACCTCTACTTTGCCTTGCTGGCTGGTGGAAGAGTTCGTGGTGGCAGAAGAGTGCGCTCCGTGTTCTACTTTCCAGGCTGTAAGTATCTGCTTTCTCTCCCTGTTCCCATCTAACCAGCCTTCAGGTGTCATTAAGCATGCCTTTGCCCTGTCTCTTCTTGTCTTTGCAGTGTCAGTGAATTACCGGTTATGAACTTGTTTCTTTCCATGAAAATATGCATCATTTTTTCCATGTTCTGTTTATTCTCAGTGGGTTCTGGAATTTATCCTTATCTCCTAATCTGCTCTTTACAACACACATGCCTAATCACAGGACTACCACCTCCCTCTTCCATATCAGAACTCTATGGGCTCTCTTCATTAGCTCTGGCCATCTCGCAATTAGTTCCCTGCTTCTCAATGGCAGCCCCTCTGCTCCCGCTGCCTCTTCTAACACAGACTTTCGTCGTTTTTTGCTGACAGAAAACAATCCCCAAGTGTGGTTCTACAGGATACATAGAGAAAATCACATGCAGTACATCTAAGCGGAATGAGTTTAAAAGGTAAGGATTAGTTCTCTTCTTTGAAACTACTTATTTGGATCCTGTGACTTAGTCATGTCTCTCTCCTGGTCTAAGGGTGGTGTGCTATGTATTAGAAAGAAGGTTTTCCTGAGACATGGTGTTGCTGTTCAGTTCAAGCTGTACTCAAAACTCAAGACAGGGGCCAGGGAGATGGCTCAGTGGAATAAGCGCTTCCCTGGCAAGCGCAAGGGTCTGAGTTCAATCGCAGGTTCCGCAAAAACAACAACAACAACAACAACAACAACAACACCTCAAGACACTGCTCTTGGGGCTGGTGAGATGGCTCAGTGGTCTAAAGCACCTACTTAGAACAAGCTAAGATAAGCAAAGCACAGGGACCACGGTTCAATCCCCCAGCACCACATGCCAGCCAGCCCCGCCCCCTGGTGGGCTGAGCTGGCCACACACACAAAATAAATAAATACATACATAAATAAAAAAAAAAAAAGACACTGCTCTTGCCTCAGCCTCCCAAGTGCTAAGATTACAGGCATATGCCATTACACCCAGTGAGGAGGGCTTTTGACGCCTAATTGCTTAAATTCAAGTCCTAGCACTGCTCCTCAGCACAGTTATTGAACACATTTTTTCATCAATAACATTGATTAATGTTGGCTCACCAAAGACTGCTTATATCACCAAGGACTATAAACACATTATGGGGCTCACTTCACTTTTCCTTTGGGATATTATTACCTTCATTAGGCTGCAGTAAAAGAGAGATTAGGAGAAGAAGCTATCTCATCTTCTCTGGAAATAATTGTTCCTTTCTACCTCCAGCTGCCGTTCAGCTTTAATGGAACAGCGCTTATTCTGGAAATTTGAAGGAACTGTAGTGGGTGTGGCCTTAATCTTTGCTTGCCTTGTCATCATTCGTCAGCGACAACTGGACAGAAAGGCTCTGGAAAAGGTCCGGAAACAAATTGAATCCATATAACTGTACCACCTTTCATCCTGCGTTTTACAGACCATGGCTCAGCATAAAAGATGGAATGGACAGCTTTATGCCCTTGCTTCTTTGGAGTCTGTGGTGATACACCCTTTCCTCTTCACATCACACACAAAAAAAGTAATACAATATCCTTCCGTACAGTAATCTGCTTTGAAACAGGAAGTCATGGAAGCAGAGAGGAAAAGGTGATGGCAGTCTAACAAGTACCTATCTAGGTCTGTCTTGTACTATTTACTTTAAAACTTCTGGGATGCGATTTTAACTGGAAAGTTTATTTTTCAGTGAAAACTTCTATTTCCCTCAACCGTATCTCCAAAGAAGTAATAAAATCACAGAGACATAAAGTATTTGCAGTACCTTCTCATTTAGGATAGACTGGGCTTTAGGATATGCATGTCTTCTAGGACAGTGGTGGTGAACCTATGGCATGCATGTGGCAGTGGGCTGTTTGTTATCACTGAAAAACTCACCATCACTGTTCTAGGGTGTTCTGAAGTGATTCAGATCACTAAGAGAAGAAACTGAGCGGGAATTCCCAGCTTGCGGGTTGCCCTGGATTCGTTATTGTGCCTGGGAGGAAGTGGGCCAGGAAGGTATCCGCGCCAGCTCACATCTCATCTGCATGCACAGTTCTGAGGTGTTCCATGGATTCGGTCTTCAGGTCCATCTTCTCTGGTAGGATCCTTGAGGTATTTGCCCTCTGGGCTCCAGGTGACTCCCTCACTTTGGACTCTATCACTGGAGCTTCCAGACTTCCTTCCATGTCTTTGTGGGTCAAGATATTTCTGGAAATCACTGAGGGGAAGGAAAAAGCACAGCAGTAGCTTACCTATCAAGTACTTGATACTCTCCCTTGGGCAGGGCACCCTTTGTGGGACAGGGCTTTCTTACTGTTTTTTTCTCCCTTTTTTCTCTTCTTTTTTCCTTTTTCTTCTGGTACCAGGGATCAAACTAAGGACCTTGTGCTTGCCAGGCAGACACTTACCACTAAGCTATTTCCTTGCACCTCCTTTTTCCTTGAGATACTCTTACTATATTGCCCTTGCTGGGAACTCTAAGGATCAAGTCATCCTCTTGTCTCAGCCTCCAAACAGGTGGGACCCTAAGTACACTACTACACAGCCTCCCCTGCTTGCCCTCTATGGATAGAGACTCTCTTCCTCACAGGAGAGCCCCTTTGCCCTCGCCTCTCACCTCCACGAGGCTGGTATTCTTCAGACCCAGCTTCTGGTAGACCCTGGAAGGGGCTGAAGCTGGGCAGGATGATGAGAGCCAGAGAAAAGAGAAGGATCTGGAAGGAACCAAAGGGACACTTATGCTGTGGGGACAATAAAGGAAAGGATCAGAAGGAATGGAGGAGAGTTGGAGTTGTTAGGGGAGAAAGATAAATATGAGTGGGCAGTGGGGGAATCAGGATGGGAGGTGGGCTGGTGGTACCAGAACACAGCTGCTGGTCTGGGCAGCTTTGTTGGAGGTCTGAGCGATGAGCATCTGCAGCTGGCGCAGCTGAGCCACCAGGGAGCTAGAAAGGAGTGAAGCCTGAGTACATTCTGGAAAGCCGTCCATCCAGTGAGGGACCCTGTGCTTCGCACTCCCTGCCCCAGGGCACATGCACTCCTCTGCACTCACACGTTACGCCTCTCCAGCTCCTGGACCTTTTTCTGCAGTTCCTGGTTCTGTACAGAACAGGCTGCCACCCTAGGGAAGATGGAGAGGTAGGACAAGCTCAGCAAGCTCAACCCCTTACCTCATCGCCCTTAGTGAGGAAGGGGGCTTGGAATGGCCCAAAAGATGCTGGAAATGGGAGCTAAGTGTACCTGCTCTCGAGGCCATCGATGTATTCTTTCTTCCGCCGCCGACTGTCTTGAGCCGACTGCTTATTCCGGATTTTCCTCCTGACCTTCTTGAGGACCTTCTCCTCTGCCTGGAAGACCAGGCTGTGTCAGGCCTGTAACCTCCCATAACTTCCCACCTCTTCCCTGGGATCCTGACTCTTCAGAAGCCATGGTGGGACCCCAAGGCTGGGGTAGCCTTTGGGGAGGAGTGTTACCTTGGTAAGGGGCAGATGAGAGGGCAGAGACACCCCTTCCTGCCCCAGCAGACGCTTCTCCTCATCTGTCAGGAGCAGGGTTTGGCCGGGCAGCTGTGAGGTAGGGCAGGAAAAGAGGAGAGGCAAGTGGGGAGAGTCATCCCAATCCTACCCTCCTGGGCCTCTAAGTACTGCCTGCACCCAGGAATAACTGCAAGCTAGAGGTGAGGTCAGCAGTAGAGATATCCTCTGCATCACACCCCAGGGATCTGAGGCTTAGAAGGGAGAGAGCTGTGGTTCTGTTGCATCTTCTGGCTACATCCTTAGGGCCTTCATACTGTGAGCAAGCTGGGGAGGCCTGTTCTGGTTCTTCTCTCCTAGGACCTTAAAGGCATTTGAAAGACTGAGGGCCGGGGAGATGGCTAAGTAGAGTAAGTGCTTTCCTGGCAAGTGCAAGGCCTGAGTTCAATCCCCAGTTCCACCAAAAAAAAAAAAAAGACTGGAGGGAACTCATTACAATTAAGTCTGCTTAATTTCCTTATAGCAGGTAAATGATTTGCCACAGATTTCCACTTGGCAGCGTATGCTCCACTTTTCAGGCTCTCCTACCTGTAACAAAGAACTCTCCAGGGGAGGCCAGAACCTCATGGCTTACAGCAAAGTGGGTGGGGAGAAGAGTATGTGAACCTGAGCCCATCAGCTGTCATTTGACAATTTGACTAAGGCACTTGCCTTTTCTCTAGTATTCCTTTTTTCTTTTTAGGTTAACATTCCAAATATGTGTAACCAAAGAACATGGCCTAGATTTTCTTAGGTTTTTTTTTTTTTTTTTTGGTTTTTTTTTTTTGATACCAGAGTTTGAACCGGGGTCTTATGCTTGCCAGGCAGATGCTTATGCCACTGAGCTATCTCCTCAGACCTACATCTATCTTTCCTTTTTTATTTTTTTTTTAAAGGGTTATTTATTTATGTGGTACTGGGGATTGAACTCAGGACCCTGTGCTTGCCAAGCAGGCGCTTATTCTACTGAGCTATCTCCCCAGTCGGTATCTTTCTTTTTTTAGATTTTTCTCTTTATTGGTATTCAGTTCAGTAACTTGAATCCACAGATACAAGCGTTATATGACCAGAGAGTTACAAGTAAACACAGATTATACATGCATGTTTCTGTTTACAAGGGTTACACATGCAGGTATAAGAAATAGAAGTATGTATCAAGAATTATGGCCAAACTTTTTAAAAGGCGAGTATGTAAAATTACATATTAAAGATATGAAGAGATGGTCTATAGTAATCCTTTTTGAAAGTTTTGTTTTGATATACTGGAGACTGTACTTGAAGCTTCACTTATGCTGAAGGCGCTCTACCAGTAGGTGCTCTACCTCTGAGCTAAGTCCCAGTCCTTTTTGTATGTTTGTTTTTTGAGACAGGGTCTCATTATGTAGTTCAGACTGGCCTTGAATTTGATTTGTAGCCCAGGCTGGCCTCGAATTCACAGTGATTCTCTTTCCTCAGCCTCCAGAGTGCTGGGATTACAGGCATGTGCCACTTCACCCAGCTTTCCCAGTCCTCTTTATTTTGTGTAGTTCAAGCTGGCCTTGAACTCACTATGGCTACAGTGAGCCTCCTGAGGGCTGGGATTATAGACATTCACAACCATGCCTGGCTTTAGAGTCCTTTTTATTTATTTTATTTATTTATTTATTTTTGTGGAACCAGGGATTGAACTCAGGCCCTTGTGCTTGCCAGGGAAGTGCTTATTCTATTGAGCCGTCTCCCTGGCCCCTAGAGTCCTTTTTATTTTTGAGACAGTCTCCTATATTGCCTGGGCTTACCTCACAGTCCTCTTGCCTCAGTCTCCAAAGTAGCTAGAATTATGGTGTGAGCCACCATGCCACGCTTGGGCAATGTCAAAGGAAAGAGGAGTTGGGGCCGGGGAGATCCTCGTATTTCTAATGTCCAGCTATACTTTTCATTTTGTTTTGGTTTATTTATGTGTGAGGTTTTTTTTTTTTTTTTGTCTGTTTGTTTTAATTGCCATAGGGCCTCACTATGTAGTGAACAGTTGGGCAGGGGAGATAGCTCAGCGGCATAAGCGTCTGCTTGGCAAGCGCAAGGGCTCAAGTTTGATCCCCAGTACCACCAAAAAAAACAAAACAAAACAAAAAAAAAAACACACAAAAAAAACTCAGTGTAGTGAAGGCTGGCCTTGAACTCCCTATAAGCTAGCCTTGAACTTGCAGTGATCCTCCTGTCTCAGCCTCTCAAGTGCTGGGATTACAGGTATGTGCCACCAAGCCTGGCTTCTCAATTTTGTTTTGTTTTTATTTTTTTAGACAGGGCTTCACTTTGTAACTTAGGCTAGCCTTGAACTCACTCTGCAGCCCAGGCTGGCCCCAAACTCTCTTTGATTCTCCTGCCTCAGCCACCGAGGTGCTGGTGTCCAAGTGTACAACACCATGCCCAGCAAAAGCTTTTTTAAGTTTTCAGCCCAAGACACTAAGATTCTTGGCTTCTGGTCCCAGCTTCAGTCACAGATTGAAAGGAAGCTAGACCCCATTCCCTGCCTTTTGGGTATAAAGAACACTTCCCGGGGTGAAGGGAGAAGAGTATCCAAAGGAAAGCACATCTGATCCCCACGCAGCACTGGAATCAGACTTGGGAAGCTGTCGTGTGGATGCTGCTCTGCCCCAGTCCTTGCCAGCTACATCACAGCTGTCATAATGGAGACACAGCTGCAGCTCCTCCCCGCCCTGTGCCCACGAGCCAGCTGGACTCCCGGGCATCCCGTCCCAGTTCCACATCCTGACTAAGGCCGCGATGATGGCTCTGGCTAGCACACAGTGAACACCAGGTTCTCTCAGTGGAGTCATCACCACTCAACCCCAAGGCTTCTCTGCCTCGGAATTCCCCACTCCTGCTCATGTTACTTTGTTCTCTAGACCACAAAAGGTGGGGCAAGGACACATTTCCGGATCAATTTCCCTTCCTCCTCCCCTTGGGTCCCCTCTGTGTGCACATCCACACTGGAGCACTGGTTCTGGCTGAGGCCCAGACTCACCAGGGTGGCTGGAGATACCGAGGCCATGGCAGTGGGCAGGATGTGGGTATGAGCATCAAAGGGCAGCTCGTGGACCACATGGGCATCAGGTACCACCAACTGTGGGCTCCACTGATCTGGAGAAAACATGGTGGCTGGAGGTCAGGGAGAGACGACACCTTATGGCAGCAGGGTCTGGGGAAGCCCCTCACCCTCTTCCCACAGAACACTGACCTAGCTGGATGGATAAGAGGCCTAAGGTTGGCCCAGCTTCCCCCTGCGCCTGCTGAAGAGCACCTGCTTCATAAACAACCTCGTAAAGAGCAGGAGAACTGGGTGCCAGTGGGCCAGGGGGGCTATCGGAGAGGCCAGGGTCCTCTGAGGTGCCACTGTCGCTGCCAGGAGATGCTTCAGAGCAGTATACCTCATTGGGGTCAATCAAAAGCTTCAGGAAATCCTCAGACTCACTTTCTTGAAGGCCCTATAATAGGAGAGGGTATAGGTATGGCCCAAGAAGAATTACAGAAGTCCTTCCTGACATCAGATTTAAGATACCCCTGCTTCAATCAATCCCTTCTGTTCTTAGTCCTAGAGATACATAGTTACACCTCAAGTGTACTTTGCAGTCTCTGTTCTGAGACTTCTCTCTAAAGGGGATGTCTCATCAGAGGGGCTTCTTTTCACCCCTTTTGTTTTACTTGCGGAACCGGAGATTGAACTCAGGCCCTGCGCCAAGCACTTATTCAACTGAGTGATCTCCCCAGCCCCTTCACCCCTTCTCTGGCCACCCACCACACCAGAATAGCTGTGGGCCCCACTGGGTTCCCAGCCTCGCCACCCCTGTTCTCAGAGCCTGGTCCCTGGAACCTCCGGAGGGGAACAGGTGAAGCCCTGCTCCAGAAAGGACCCTGCAGAGAAGATATCTTCTGGGGGCTCCAGGAACACGTCCAGCAGGTTGGAGGACCCGAGATCCATGCTTCTGCAGGAAAGCACGCAGGGCAGTCATAAGGGAGGCAACGAGTCTTCCCACCCCACAGTGTCCTTCCGCACCTGCCGCAGCCCCTCACTGACCAGGCCTTCTCGCTGAGGGTCACAGGCCCAGCCCGCGGATCAGCCAGCCCCAGACGGCCCAACACCTGTGCCTTCTTCCTCCAGGATCTGCATCCTGGTCCTGCCCACCTAAGCTCCGCCCCTTGCCGCGCACCTGCAGGGCCGGCTACACCTTGCCAAGGTTACTGTAGCGGTGCTGAGTCTTGAGAGTAAGGGACTGAGACTCGCAACTGCATCAGGGGAAACATAGGCAGCCATGCCCTTCCTGCCTCAGTTTCTTTCTGCCTTAGTTTCTCCTAACTCTTAGTTTCTCCTGAGGGTTTAGCTTCTCCTCAGGGAGGATGAGGTGGTGGCGATGAAAGCACTAGAGGTGTGAGAGCCTGATCTCCAGCCAACCCTTGCACAGGAGACTGTGGAGCCGTCAAGAACAAAGGCGATGGGGTTTCTAAGCCTGCCCTCCCCCACCGTTTGGCGCACTTCCCATGCTTCCTGATTGGAAGCCATCGATTTAAGGGTTCCCTATGGAACCAATGGAAACACCCACTCGAGGCCAACTGCTTTGTAATTGGTCAGAATATGGGCGTCTAGACTGCCAATGGGGTTGTAGTATATGTCGGCGGAGGTGTGGGGGGGTGGGTTTTGCGTTCCTGGGCTGGAGGTCGCGGTGGCAACCGCAAAGTAGATTGGCAGGAAGTTGGGCGAGTTTTGGGGTTGTGGGCAGCGCAGGTTGCGTTTGCTTGCCACAGGACCCTAAGGCTCATGGTTGCTGTCTAGATGAGGAATAAATAACCTGTTGACACGAGTGAAGCGCCAGAGCTTTGCCACAGAAGCCGGAAGGTTGCGCAAGGGCGGGTTTCCAGTCTGTGACTCGAGTGTTATGCTGCGGGTGGACTGCGCTGGGACAGTTATTGACCGGGAGGCGGGGTCTACAAAACTGGGACGGATTAGGAAATCTTTAGCCTTAGGTGTAGGAAACTATTCCCCGCCCCATTTCCCTACCCTCCCTTCAACCCCTCTTCAGGTGTCAAACAATATTTTTTGGGGGGGATTTGTATTTTGAGACATGGTCTCATTGTGTAGTTCAGGCTGGCCTTGAACTCTAAATGATACTCCTGCCTCAGCCTCTGGAGTTCTGGGATTACAGGCACATGCCGCCTTGCCCGGTTTTGCATTTGTATAATTTATTTATAAGTTTTTATTAGTATATGTTTGCAGTGCCTAATTACGGTATAATGGAGACTGGGCACATGTACATAACATATTCTTGCAGGGGAGATAACTCAGTACAAGAAGTGCTTGCCTGGCAAGTGCAGGGTCCTGAGTTCAATCCCCAGTATCGCAAAAAACAAACAAAACATATTCTTTTCTCAACCCCTTTTCTCCCCCCCACTTTTTTTTTTTTTTTTTTTTTTTTTTGCTACAGGGACTGAATTTATGCCACTGAGCTCTCCCAGCCTTTCTCCTTGCTTTGTAAAACTATTCTCATAAACTTCTTTTCTTCATTTAATTTGCAATTGCTCTAAAGCACACAAAATTGATAATATTTTGCTGAGGAGGAGGACTGGAAAAAGAACTCTTGGCCAGAAAACAGTATCCATGACTTGAATTCCAAACTTCAGCTCTTTTCCTCCTTTGGTCTCTGGTCTAATGGCCCAGGAATTCACCTCTTGTAAAATAATGGAGACACACCAATTGCCCTCTGTAGAACTTCAGCTGAGGAAAGTAGTAAAGCTTAGGTTATGAAACTAGAATTCAAACCACAGTTGGTCTTGTGGTGCACACCTGTTACTCCAGCTCTCAGGAGGCTGAGGCAGGAGGATTGATGTTCAACACCTACCTGGAGTATATGGTGAAACCCTGTTTCAAAATACAAACAAAAAGAAAAACAAAAAACCTTATAAAATGGTTTGTTACTCTCTTGACCCATAAACCTCATAAAATTACACAAGTCAAGAGGTTCAAACCAGGTATGTTGGCAAACACCTATAATCCCAGAATTTCAGAGGCTAAGGCAGGAGGAGCACCATGAGTTTGAGACCACCCCATACTACATAGTGAGATCCTATCTTCAAAAAACTGAAACAGCTGGGGATATAGCTCAGCTGCACAGCACCTGCCTAGCAAGCATGACATTGAGTTCAATTGCCAGTACAGAAAAAAAAAAAAAAAAAAAAGGTTCAGGTTATGGAAATAGCTCAGCTGGCTAAGCACCTGCTTGGCAAGCACAAGGACCTGGGTTAGATCCCTGGTACCACATGCTGTGCAGGCTCCGGAACCCCTGGCACAACATGCTGGTCCAAAACCAGATATGGTGAGGCAGGCCTATAATCTCAGTGCTGGGGAGGCTGAGACATAAGGATCACTATACATCCAAGCTGCATAGAGACCCTATACCAAATAAATAATGATTTTTTTTTTAAGGTTCAGATCTTTCTTTCTTTTTTTTTTTTTTTTGCGGAACTAGGGATTGAACTCAAGCCCTTGCGCTTGTCAGGGAAGTGCTTATTCCACTGAGCCATCTCCCTGGCCCCAGTTCAGATCTTTCTGTTCACCTTAAGAATGCTGGAGAAACTGCCCAGGCCATCACAGATATGTATAGATATGTGTATCTGAAAGGCCACCAAATCTGAAGGATGTACATTTAATTTATAGTAAATTAATAAAAAAATTATTTACAGTGTTTTGACATAGGGTCTTACTGCATGTCCAGGCTGGTCTTGAATTCACTATGTTTTGAGATAGGGTCTCTATAATTCATGTTGGCTTGAACTTTTGGTGATTCTCTGCCTCAGCCTCCCAAGTGTTGGGATTAAAGATGTGTGCCACCATGCCCAGCTTTGTGACCATTTTCATGTTACTCATATAAATCTTGTAGTGGGGCCAGGGAGATAGCTCAGTAAAATAAATGCTTGCCTGGCAAGCGTAAGGGCCTGAATTTAATCCCCAGTTGTGAA